GCAAATTTTTATTTCTGAATCAGTCGAAAATCAACAAATAGACACCCACAGGTAAAAGTAAGACATAAAAGCTCTCTTAGCAAATATGACAAAACCAGCTGTGAAAGAAAAACCAATCTCGCCATTTAAAAGGCAATCACAAAGCAATTTAATCTCAAGAAAAACATATCTGAAATTCATTAAATGAGTTACTGACAAGAGAATTCGAAACTACCAAATACGACTAAAGCACCATCCATCTTTTTTAAAATTAAACCATCCCGGAATGCTAAAATTGACTTAAATGCGTCTTCCAAGTCCAGTGGATATGGAGTGTCTATTACACATGGATCAGCATTCCCAAATTGTCCACAACGATTCCAACCCCAAACATAAACATCCCCTCCGTCCGTCAAAGCAACACTATACCAAGAACCACAGGAAATTTGTACTATACGAAGTGGCTGAAGTGAATCGAGTAGCACCGGAAAAGACTCATTTTGTAGTGATCCGTGACCCAGTTCCCCACGACTTCCTGTTCCAAAACTGTAAACTTCGCCTGCAACACTTAATAACAATACGTGATCCTTACCAGATGACATTTCGCAAACCTTGTCTTTACTACCGATTTGCAACACCTCAACATTTATGTTTCGATTTTCAGAAAATACTCTATTCAAACTCGGGCCATCATCAGAATTAACAACCAAGTAACAAGACGAGTCAGTACAAGAAATCAACATTAATGGCGCTGATGAAGATACTCGGGCATCTATCGGTTGCAGATCTTCCATTCCATTAAGGTGCATTAACTCTGGAACTTCTAACGCTGATTCTAAATTAAACTGCTCCACCTTTACCGGGCAAAGGGTATTAGAAAACCCAATACCCTCAATATTTCTTTCGTCTAAATTCATTACAGAAACACGATTCGAGTTTAAGTTAAAGGAGTACAATTGGTGCAACTGCGAAATTAGGAAAAATACGTGATTATGAGTAGAATCGACAATTTCAACTAAACCGGGCAAGGAGAAGGTAAATTTCTTAAGTAACAAGTAGTTCTCTACACAAACTTCGCTGATATCTGCACCATCAGTTTCATCCACACTCAGCTGTACTTTTCCGAAGTAATAAATTAACTCCTTCTTCTTCATAACCTGAAACAAGCAAGGTATTTAACAATACAGAAAATGAATGTTGTAGGTGGAAAATTCAAACTGTATTGAAACTGAGAAGCTTCAAAAGTTACTTTAGTTGAATACTCTTCATCTAACCAATCGAAACAACCGTAAATGTAAATGTCTCAAATCAAACGAACTATATGAACAGTTGTAGAACTTGGTTTAGTAAAGATTCTCAAATAGCTGCATCCAACTACGCAGATAACCCCCCTAAAAAAACGCACTTTCTGTACGATCTTCTCGAAAAATTTCAGAAAAGCGCACGACATAATAAACTGCTAAAAACTCCTGGTGCCCTCCGAAGTTACAAACAAAAATTTCACATTCATTATCCAGCAGAATTACACGGAAATACCCATTGTTGAAAGGGGAAGAAAATTTCGGGCTCCAGTTCCGCTCGTCATCATGCAGCAATAATATTTAGATATAAAACAGCAAAACGTACCATTTGACTTAGACCAACAAGTTCGACTAAGCAAACCAAATCAAAACATGTCACGTTCATCAAATTCGCTAGTAGAACTTAGCAAAAATAGAAAACAAATAAGTAAAGTGAAATAAAGCCGAATAATTACACACAACAATTAGCTTAACAGACTGGTAAAAACGGTGGTCAAGCATAATCAAGGCTTCCCGCCATAAGTTATCTAGTGGTTTATATATTATTTTAAAGCCACTTTTACTCGAAGATCCTGCTTATTCTTCCTTTTTCAACCGTTTTTTTCCTCCTGTACACTGTCAACACTAGCCCTCATCTTCTGAGTTTTAGGTGTAATATGTAACCAGTTCCTGAAGGAAAAATGCCTCTGATAATCAGTAACCTTAAGGACAGTGGTCTGAAGCAACAATTTTTTGACTCAAAAAAACGGATGGAGATGTTCAGAAGCTGTAAACTAGTATTTAAAAAAAGTTGAATTGAAATAAGAAGCTCCAGAAATCGGCAGCTGATCTGAGAAGTTCGAGCTGACAAGAGTAATACAATGGATCGTCCTTTCCATTGCTCCTTCCTACTGTTCAGAAATCAACAAAATAACATCCTGCAGTTGAAAAACTCGTATATTACTAGCTACAGAAGTGTATGTTACACTCCTAAACTTAAAAAATTTCAATTTATCCTCGTTTTCTTCTGAACATTTCAACAATTCAAAACTACTATACAGGTAGAATGATATATTACAGCAAACCACTCATAATGCTCAAAACAATTCTTAAACAGTCACAGGTGTGTAGGAGAAATGATAATTCGAAACGTAGTGACAGCAAAGATAAGTTATCATTTTCTAACAATAAAATTTACTTCATTCCTTGATATCCACACTGAGTTTTCCAACTGTTCAACAGTCCTCTATTAAAAGCTCAATAAACGCTTTGCAAAAAAGAAATTTGAAGACCTCAAGTATTTTCAAGTAAATTTAATGAGAAA